AAATATTTTTTAATATAATTTATATACATTATATAATATTTAATATTTTACATTAATATTATAGATTCACACACGTTTTTTATATCTCATTGTAAATCGTTATCTAACAATAATAAAGGATTGCACGCACCTGGTGTACAATTTGAAGGTCGCTGGTTCGCGTTCCAATATTGTCTCGATAATCGATGCCCGCGCGTCGTCGTTCAGTAGAGTATCTTCCGGATATGCACACGCTGGAATTAACAAAACTGAAGGATTAATCGACATCAACCGAAATTCGTGAAGGAAAAAAAAATCTGTTTTGTATCAATTAAGATCTCGAATCGATAACCGACGATTACCTGACCAGGCGAAGATGATGGTCGAAAGGATGAGAAATTCGACGAGTGACATATCTTTGAATTGTACGCTGTGCGACACACCAGCCGTCTTCACGAGATGCACCAGATTACTACTACATTAACTTGGTCGGCTTAACGTCTCGGTCCGTCATTCATCCCGCGCGCTTTCTTTTTGTTCGTCGGCCAGCTCTCGAGAGTACGATAAGAGTGCCTAACTCATTAATACATTATTCATTACCATAGCGCCGATTTTAAAAACGGTCTTATTGGCAACATTTCAAATAATAATTTCATATTTGATGGCACGCAGTATTTATTTTTTAATTAAATAATACAAAAGAATTAATTTCAAGAAATTAATTAATATTAGAGCACTGCATATTAGCTGTAACGTTAATTTCCCTCTTCTTCTCTCTGTGAGAGATCACATTTTCAAAATATTTCTAAAATAAGTTTAATTTTTAGGAGATATATATATGTATATACTAACAACTACAATTAACAAATTAAATATGACCTATCGAAATATATATATATATATCTATATATTTCGATAGGTCATATTTAATTTGTTAATTGTAGCGATTATTTAGGAAAGAAGAGAGAGATTTGATTATTATAAAAGACTTACTTAACATTTTCAAAAATTAATGTTTTTATACTTTAAAATAAAAGCATGAACTTTTGCAATACATTTTTTTTGAATATTTTCTTTTGATTTAAGACAATGAAAAAAACAAAATTATTATTTCTTTTTACCTTTTATTGATATCATGTTAATAAAACGGTACGTTAGTCATCTGAAATTATGTAAAGTTGAAAATATCGTCACAATTTGAATAATATTGTTTGATAAAGCGCTACGCTATCAAAAAGAACGTATACACCATAGATAAAGTAAGAATAGTAGAGCGATTCTCCAATACCCTACAATCTCCCTCATTTGCGCATGCGCAGTGATATTCGCGGAACGATTGGTTCATATGATTGAATGCGAGCGG